TTCTACAATGCAAACAACATCATTAAGAGTTAAAGGATCATTGGGAGAAGGTTCTTGATCACTTACCTCTTTTGATGTATCACTATCTTCAATGGCCATGAGACACAAGTTGGCCACTTCCTCCGTTTCCGAGTCTTCACTCCCGGAGCCGTCGTTCTCCCAAGAAATGTAGGCACGTTGCTTCTTCGGTGCCCTCTTGTCCTTCTCGTTCTTGAGCTTTGGACACATTGGTTTGATGTGTCCAATTTCACCACACCCATAGCATTTGGGTGGAGTGTTCTTCTTGGCTCCCTTCTTGAGCATCATCTTCTTGAATTTTCGGACAAAGAGTCCGAGGTCGGTGTCGTCGCTGTCATCATCTTCATCATCAACGTTGTTGTGGGTTGATGTTGTTGCGGGTAGAGCAATAGACCTCTTGTTCCTCTCTTCAACCACCTTTGAGAGTTGTGTGGTTTCGTAGGTAATAAGATTACCTCAAAGAGCATCATAGGTCGTTGTTTGGAAGTCACGACCTTCTTCGATTGCGTCCACCTTTGAACGCCATTTGGGGGATAGGCTTCGCAGCACCTTTCTCACGAGCTCTCGGTCGGTGTATGTCTTCCCGAGAAGATTGAGAGGATTGATGATGTTAGAGAATCTCTCAAACATTTCCTCAATCTTCTCATTTTTCTTCATTGAAAAGAGTTCATACTCGTGAGTGAGATGGTCAATTTTGGCCTCCCGAACCTGCATGGTTCCTTCGTAGGTGACCTCCAATTTCTCCCACATTTGTTTTGCGGTTTCACACCGCGAGATTTTGCGGTAGTCATCCGCATTAACACCGCAATAAATCATGTTTATTGCCTTTGCGTTGAGCTCCATCTTTTTGCAATCTTCTTTGGTGAACTCCTCTTCTGTTTTGGGGACGTTGACTTCACCGACTTTCTTCATAGGGACTCTGTAGCCGTTCTTCACAATCAACCACAGCTTGTAGTCGTTGGATTGGATAAAGATTCTCATCCTCTCCTTCCAATACGAGTAGTTTGTTCCATCGAACAATGGTGGCCTCGTGGTTGATTGTCCCTCGGTCACTCCTGGGTTGAACATCCTTGATGCCATTTGATCTTTTAGTTCCTGAAAAAAATAACGTATTCGAAGAACTTCCTGCTCCGATACCAATTGTTAGACAAATGTGCAACTCTAGAGGAGGGGTGAATAGAGTTGTTTTCAAGAATGTGCGTTTTTCGCGTGTGTGAAATAATAAAACCGCAGGAATAAATAAAGAGAGTAAGGGAAAGAAGAACACCGAGATTTATACTGGTTCACCACCTCGTGGCTAGTCCAGTCCTCCGAGAGACTCCCTCGAAAGTCCTACTAATCTTCAAGCTTCAACGGGTGCTTGAAAAACCGGTACAACTTGAGAACTTTAATCACACAAGCCTCACTTTCTTAAAACAACAAGACTTGAGTCACACAAGTCTTAAGAACAACACTCGATTGAGTTTACAACACAAGAATGAAAGCTCACACAATTGAGCAAAGTAGTGTTGAAGAATTAAAGCTCTATGGATGACAACTTCTTAAGCACTTAAAGAAAATATTTCTAACTCTCAAAAAATAATATTTTGATGAGGAAGATGAAACAAAGGATGAATATAGCTCAAAGAATATTTTGGAGTGCAAGAGATGTGTTAGAAATGAAGGAGAATGAGGGATTAAATAAGTTGAGGAAAATAAAGCCGTTGGAGCAAGCCAGAACATGCACCAGATAAAAATAATCAATTAAAGTGAAACTATTAATCGATTAAGGTACACAGAGGCGAAAAAGCCTGAAATTAGGTAAGGTATTAATCGATTAAACTGAAGAAAATAATCGATTAGGTGAATCTGTGCTAACAAATCGATTAAATGAAGAACATTAATCGATTATTGGGCGATCCTGGGAATCCAACTAGAAGTCTATTAATCGATTAAAAAGGAAGAGAAAATCGATTAATTTCAAAATGTTGTACAAACATAAAGGGCCCAAGCCTATTTGCGATTGAAGCCTTTGGCTTCATACGATTGTTTGAGACAATGGGAATCAATGCACGCTCATTGATAACCCTTATTCAATGAATTTGAATAGGGGAGAAAAAGTGAGTTCAAAAAATTATTTTGTGTGTCAAAAGATGTACACGAAAAATATTTAAAGTATATTTTTCTTACCAAAAAAAATTGTGTAATCTTTAAAAAATATTTTTAAGAAATTTTGACACACTTATTTTGAAACTGACTCAGTAAAATATTTTTGGACAGAAAAAAAATAATTTTTCAACTGACTCAAGAAATAATAATTTTTATCCCTCAGAAATTAATTTGTTTATGCAAAAGTTGTTGTCATCCTTACAGGAATCCTAGACTCAATAAAAAAAAAGTCTTCGGAGTCTTCACTTCACTTCAAAAAAAATCTGCGTAGGGGGATCGTCGATTTTTTTTATCACCGTAAACTTCTTGATACCCTTCTTTGCTTTTCTCGATACGAAAATAAATTTTCGATCAGCTTGAAATTAATCATCCTGTTTGTCATTCATCAAAACAAAAAATATTCCAGAAGAAATAGTAAAGGGGTTTGAACTCATGTCCAACAGGGCGCTGATTTAGGAACGACTAATGAGAGAGGTGAGAGAGATACAGTTGAGATGTAAAAATCCAAATATATCCCTGAGTAGATTCAGAAAGAATATTGACATGAGATCAGATCTAACGGTGTATAATTTATTCTTATTTCTTTCATTAGATTGTTTTCTCACCGGAACCAAACTATATATATATATATATATATATATATATATATATATATGTATGTATGTATGTATGTATGTATGTATATGTATGTGTATATATGTATATATATATATATCTATGTATGTATATATATATATATATATGTATGTATATCTGTGTGTGTCAAATTCTAATTGGACGCGTCTGTTTGGGAAACCACACAACTGATCATGAATTAACAATCAAATGTATATGGCAATTTATGTGACTATCATTGGTGCTATAATTTCACCCAAACCGTGACACCTTTTTTGACACATTAAATGATTAGATATTAAACATTTGAATGTTACATGCCTTTTCATTAGAGAACGTTGATGATTACAATTCATTCGAATCTATTATTTTATACATTGGAATGTATATCAGTTTGGATTTCGTTGGAGAACATCTCAAGGATTTTCAAGATGCAAAAATATCCAAAAAAAGAAAATTTCCTATTTGAGACCACAACCAAGGACTCTACACCTTGGACCCCACTGCAGGGGCTTGCGCTCCGAGACTCTAGTTATAGAATTTGTAATATGGTTGAAAAAACATCCACTCCTCGTTTGCTAACATTCTTTAAACTTCTCGTTCCATCTATGTTAATTGAATTGCATAAAATAATCAATGACACAAAAAACACTAGAAAAATATGGTTCTAATCATTTACTCAGGTATCTTTTTTTATTTTTACACAAACCTCAATAACACATATTTTATTTTATAAAAAACAGTCAATCAAATCATGAAGAAAATTAGGGGGATGGAGGAGAATGTGCCACACTTTAATATAGCACAAGGAACCATATTAAATCAACACCGTATACGCAATAAATTATACACAAAAAGCGTATCTACCAAAAGACGTACTCTCTCACCCACCCCTCTGATGGCATGCGGTTAGGTTGTCAACTACCCAAGAAAATTCAATTCCGTGGAGAGTCGGGCTTGACAAACGAAGATATAGAGACCCGGAAGAGACGAGAGAAAGAAAATCATATCTCACTGACCTCACCATACCTACATACCCCAACATTCACCACCATACTTTTCTGACCTGAGTGCAACACCCTGCAGCAATTCCTCCTTGGAGACTGCATCAAAGCAAGATTTAAATAATAAAGAAACTTCAGTTAAAATTTAAGATACATTTCAGTCACCCAATTATAAATCCATTAATTGATTTGCTGTCTAAATGTGTGTTTACATCATTCAATCATGGGAAGCAGGAAGATATATGGATTGATACTTTTTAAAAGAGAAGATTCCAGCGTTTATTTTAGCAAAACTATTTCTTGTTTATAAATACTGAACAGGAACCAATTCAACATAAAGCTCATACTTTTGTTTGGATGTCCATTAAAAGTTTTACTTCTAATGTTTTAGCAATAGATACTACAAATGAGAGTGGAGAGGGTTACCAATCCGAAATTAATATTCTTGAAAAAATGAACAATTAAAGGGAACATTTTTACAGTGGTAAGAGCATACCATCCCCATTACTAAAGCTAATTAAGCTTGCCAAAAAATGAGATTGGCTTGCTAAAACTAGCAAGCCGCCAGTACTAAAACTAGCGAGTCCCCCAAAGTAAGGATAGTAAAGCATTGACGAATATAAATGAGACAGAGCGAGAGATTTTTACCCTGTCCCATAAATGTGAGTCGGGCTTCATATAAACCTCAACCATCTCAATATCTTCAGGATTGGCCATCTTCCACTTGCACAGAGGACGGGGGAGTGGGTGGCGAATGTACTTGCTCACTGTTTCATTAGAAAAAGAGTCCACTTCTGCACTTGACAAGTAGAAAACGAAAGACTTCTGGCAATGGTTTCTCATGACAGGCCTTGTGTTGAAAGAATAGGCTGTGTAATCTGCCCTCCTGTACCAGTTTAAGAAAGTTCTGGATGGCATTTCTACTTCCCTAGGGGATAGCACTCCGCGGAAGATTTGGACAGCAAAGCCCCAGGAGACCGAAACTGTCCAGCTCTTCGCCTTGTCGTAGCAAATGGATTGTTGGATCAAACCTGCCGAATCCAGTTTCATTGGAAGCATTAGCCTTTTGAGAGCTTCGACTCGAGTGACGTTTGGAAATATTGGTTCCACCACATCAAGATGGTGCATAGAAACCAATGGTGCCACAGGATGTGCTGATAGGAGCCCAAACAAGTCCCCATATACATCAAACTGATTATATATGCCACGACCGTAAAGGAATTGAAGAACGTTAGTTAGATCCCAAATTAAAATAACAATATTTCTATCGAGGAATTTACCTAAATAGCACTAAAACATAATGACTTTCCTTAAATAGCACTACATATGTTTTTCTTTCCAATATAGCACTTTTAGTCATTATGCATTAGTCATTATTCAAACAAAATTTCACCATCACTGGACATTATGGACATTATAAGTGCTATTTAGAGAATAAAACAGTTTAAGTGTTATTTAGGGAAATGACTTAAGTTTTAGTGCTATTTAGTGCAAATATTTCTATCATTAATGCCATACCCAAATGCAGGTTAATCCACAAAGCTAAGAAACTGAGCCTCTATAACTAACTACTTCAAGCTATCTAACAATACACTACTCAGGATCAAATTGATAGAGGACTTAATAGGGCATTTCAAATTAATGCAATTCAAGTTGCACTTTTTTCCAAATAGTACAACCCAGCTAATAAAACAACTGACCCCAAATCACCAAATTAGAGAAAGAAACCACAGCCTGCAAGCATATATACTTTAAGAAACGAATGTTTGGAATTAATTGAGAGAAAGAGTGCATGAAAGAGACCACCTGGTGGAAACCAAGTTCACGGGTGAGGGGAATGCCGAGCTCTGCCATACAAGCCTGCATTCGATCATCAGAGCCATAAAGGCCAGGGTATCTCTGAATGCATCTATCTTGCATTTTCTCAAGAGCCTCAGCTAAAGGGTAACTTATAGCAAAACCGCCACCTCCGAAAGCCATGCTGTATGAAAAGTAAATATTCTGCAAATGGCTCTCACTCAAACTCCCGATGTAGTAGAAATGGTTGTGATCATATTTGTTGAGAACTCTCACCAAATTTTCTGTAACAAAAATGGTATCGTCATCACCCATCACGAACCACCGCACTTTCTCCATCCCGAGCCGGAACGTCTCAGAAACAATTCTTGAAATTCGGATGGCAGACCGGTGGCCCTGCGGGTTGCTGTAAGGGAAATGGGATGTATTGCCGGAAATTCTCAATTCCGGGAGAGACCCGTTTTCTCTTGCCGACATATTCACTGCCTTGTCCAGCCAGACCACTCCTCTCATTTTCCCGTCCGGCTTCCACCACAACTTTATGTAGTTTTTCCTCGACTCCCACAGCTTTGCGGACGCCGCAATGCCGAAGACCACATGCTCTACACCAGTTTTCTCCACTTCTTCTGGAATCCGGCCGGTTTCTCCCAATGCTAATGCTACCGCCGCGGTAGTAGTAGAGTTGATTTCAGATTCGGTAGGAAGGCCTCTGCTGCGTCCGATGATGAAAACGTCGTCATCCTTGCAGATCCCAGAGGGAGAAAGAAGCTTTAAGGAATAGACCACGTAGGTGACGGAGATAAAGAGGAGGAACCAGACAATGAATCTGGTCAAGGGTCGACTTTGCCAACTGGAAACTCGGAGATGAGTGCCTGCAGAATTTCGCATCTCTTCCCACAATGAAATCTCCGAATCTTTATCTCTCTGGGTCACTTTCATGGTCATTCCTCAACTAAAAGCAGTGGGGCTGCCAATCACTCAAAACAATCTACTCCCTTTTTCTGAAGAAAGTTCAGTACTTTCTTTGAAATATAATCTTAGTCCTTTCGCCCTCTTAACTTGTGATATTTTTGGAGTATTTCAAATGAGATTTTAGATCTGGAGAGAATATTTCTGGGTTTCTGATATTGTTGAGGCAGATTCAAAAACCTCTACAGATAAAAGAAGAGATTTTAAGAATTCTTAATCACAAAAAAGGAGCTGAGAGCAAATGGTAGGAACAGCATGCATTGTGCATTTGGGTTGTTAGCTTCAATGTTGTGGAGAAGGAGCAACGAAGCATGCTTTCCTGAAACGAGCTGCAGCATACACACAGAGAAAGCAGGTTGCGGGGACGCCCTGACTGGACGTAATAGAAATTTTTATACACGTACAAGTAGACATGTCAAAACAGAACCGGAACCGATTACCCAAACTGAAATATCCGAAACCAAAACCGAAATGACCCGAAAAATGAAGATTCGATCTATAACCTGAAACCCGAAATGATCCGAATCGAACCGAAACCGAATTAAACAATTCATATCCGATTTAAATCTGAAACTGATTAGATCCGAAACCAATAATATCCGAACCGATTAAACTCGAAATCGATTAGATCCGAAACCGATAATACCCGAAACCGATAAAACCCGAAACGGATTAGATTCGAAATCGATTATATCCAAAACCGATTAGAACCTACATCGATAAATTTGTAACTATGTTTTCCTTTCAATAAGCATATTATTTTTTAAAATTTTTAGTTTTATTTTACCATTTGAACTATTTACATTACTTGCTCATTCTCTCATAAAATAGATTATCTTCTTGAAAAAAAGTACAAAATTTCATGTCTTAAATTTATTATATGTAGAAATTAAAGATAAGTTATACATATAAATGATAGCGCACAAACAAATAAAGTTTTCGTAATTTTTAAATAGTGAAGTGTGATTTTATTTTTGAGACGAAAGGATTATATGATGAATTGTATGCAATAACTAGATTTTATCCTGATTTCATTCCATTACAATAAATTTTATTGATTTGAGAGTTAATTTGATTAGTTTCAAACCAATTCACTCATTATTAGTTAATAAAATTAGATGCTAGTGTTAGCATTTTGAAAAGACTCTCTAGCGATAGCATTTAGTCTTATCATTTTCAAATTTGATCTACACCATTACATTTAGGTGTAAAATTAATTATATTTGACTCTATTAAATTTAATTTAATCTATTTTCAACAAAATACACTAAATAATTTATAAATTTTGCACTCAATTGAATAAAATTTACTTAATTTCACCCAATTGAACTCAATTTTTTTCCAAGAATATAAGATTACCTTGTATTGTGATAAACTTAAATAGAGAATAGAAAAGTAAATATTTGTATTCATATAATCATCTACACTCTTTTTCAAACTATAAAGTTTTGATTTAAAATTTTATTTAAATTAATATAATTTAAATATAGTATTAATTTATATATACAAAAGTGTTAAATATCAGGTTTAAACATTTTATACTGAAAAAAGTCAAAAAGGAAAGATTATTTAGGGTATTGATAATATAATTAGAAAAAAATATAAAATAATATGAAGCATTGAATTGATGATAGATTGATAAATGTGATAAAACATAAAAAGAAATATGGATAGTTAAATTTTAATTAGAAAATAATATATATCCAAAATATATTTGATCCGAAACCAAAATATATCTGAACCGAACTAAACCCGAAACCGAAATATATCCGAGTCAAATTGCATCCGAACCGAATCTATCCGAACCGATTCATAACCGAACCGTATCTGAATCGACTCGAAACCGAATCGAACCGAAAAATGTATTGAACCAAATCAAATCCGAACCAAAATTTAACCGATCCGAACCAAACTGATTATAACATACAACCGAAAGATATCCGAACCAAAAATTTTTAACCCGAAACTGATCTGGTTGACTTGATTGCCACCTCTACGTACAAGGTACACACAATCTAACATTAGCTGTAAAATTTTAAATTCTCACTTTTTTTCACCGTATCCTATCTACTTTTGCGTCATCATTCTTCTCTATTACCACTAGTTTTCCATATTTAGTCTTTAATTATAAGATATTCTATAAATAGTTTTAAATTTTTAAAAACTATTCCATAAATAGTCCTTTTCACTAAATATGATAAAATATTTTGAGTAAAATTCTTAAAATGACCCTTTCTAATAAAATCTTTTTTCAAAGTAATCCTTAATAAGCAAAAATAACAAACGTGCTCTTTTATAATTGAGATGTGTTTTTAAATAATCTTTTATAAATATTTTTTAATTAAATGACAGTTAAATAGAGAGTACTTTGATGCTCTTTAATTATTATCTAAGCTATTAATAAGTCCTCAAAATTATTTTTATAAATTAATTGGAAGCTACAAATAAATAATAATTACCAACGTGGTTCTTTATAATTTAAATTTATTTCCTAAATGATCCTTTGCCTAAAATGTCTATTAAATGTCAGTCAGTTAGAAGGTATTGGGAGAAAGACCAAAGTAGGACTAAAACATTGAAAATATACCAAAATAAGACTTTCATTTTTTTATTTTCGAAATAGGACTTACATTACCATACATGGTCATATACATTACCAAAAAAGTATAGTAATTTGCACATGTACACTGCCACATTACAACAGGGCAAAGTCACATTACCACAGTACAAAGTCCTATTTCGAGAAAAAAAACATAAAAGTCCTATTTTGGTAGTTTTCTCTATGTTTTAGTCCTATTTAGGGTGATTCTTAGAAGGTATTCTGATATTTTCTATCATCTAGGATTAAAGTATGTTTTCGAAATGCTCCTTTATAATTAAATATTTTTCCAAATTGATAATATTTAAGTAAACATTTTTTTCAAAATAGAGTCCATGAGCCAACTTTTTTTGCCCTACTTTTTAATTATATTTTAAAATTATAGTTATTTTATTTAATTTTTGTGCTTATCAATTTATTAGCAGTGTGACAATCAAATCAAAATTAGCCCCCTTAGTTCATGTAGTTAGCTACAATGGTTTAATAATAAAGAACTTTGTGTTGGTTTAAAACTAAGAAATTTTTTGTGTGTTGGGCTTGAGGGGGTTTCTCTTTGTCTAATTTTGTTTGTGAATTGTGATCTTAATTAGCTTTACTTTATCATTTTATCCTTTAATTCATGCATTGGACTATTTTTTTGATATAATATTTTTTGATGATATATGAGTTTTAATTTGTAAAAATCAAATAAGGACCGACCTAGACTAATTAGTATAACTAAGATATTGATAAAAAACAAATATGGACCTACGCTTGTTTAAAAACGTTCTAAACTAGTATAATTTGAGTTATTGTTGTATGTATGCAGGGATGCCAAACGCACCCAAAAAGACTAGAGGATCGGCGTAGAGTAAGGTGTTGTATCGGTGGAAGATGGATGACCACCCACTAATACACCTTGAGTGGCGAGGAGGCAAACCGGTATTTGGGGAACACATCAAGCTTTTTTCTTCCCTTGTCGGTTACGATGTTAGGTCTAGTGTGTAACACCCCAACTCATGTAACCTAAAAATACGGATCAAGAAACCGAATTGTTATCAAATCGGTATCTAAACAGATACTAATTTCAAACAATTTAAAATATTTAATCCAAAACATTATTGAGAAATCCACTATTGGAGTTACCAAAACATTTACGAAATTTTAAGTCATTATTACAAAATCAAAACTTGGGAATCAAGCCCGAAAATTTAATAAGTCATTCAAAAATAAATAACAGTTCAAGATCATCAAGAAGGCCTTCACACGTCTCTTCATCTTCATTTCACTACGGAATTTGGTCTCAATTCATCTTAAACCTGATTACTTGCGTGTAGCAAATAAATACACTACACACTTAGCAATGATGCTGAGTGGGAAATATCTAACATTTGAATACACATATAAGTGAAGCCACTAGATCACAACTTTCATATGATATAATGCAAATAAGCATAACTTTAACAGCATCGTACTGTAGTACACAAAAACATTCTAAAAATACACCTCAAGAATTCGTAAGTTTTCTTTATTATAACCACACAATTATTACTTAACTCAAAGCTCATAACATATTCTAAGCTAATGCCAATTCACATTTTCTCTTACTTAAGAATCATGACCTTCCCCTTTGGAACAAAGGTAAAGCTCAACAAACTAAGGAGTTTCTAATTGGGTGGGTGAAGTCCATGTCCCTTTCGAAATGACAGTTCATGGAACCTCGTGCATACATTTCAGCAAGATTGCCATTGGCCATGAAGGCATTAAATGGCACTACATTTTTACATCGTACCTTGCTACTAATCTATTCAGGTTAGTCCTAAAGTGTTTCTAGGTAGACTAGTTCAATTGTTCATTTGTCATTCATCATCAAAGACAACATTCATAAGTGTAAATCAATCATGCCTACCATAATCAATCATGCTACTGTTAGTCGGTGTGCCCACGCCTTAGAGGGGGGAGTAAGGCATTTAAAAACTTTTCGGAGTTTAGTAAAATGGGTGTTGGCAAATGCGGTAGCAATAGATAAAATGCAGAATTAAAAGCGTAAAGTAAGAACACACCAATTAAGACTGGTTCGGGAATTCTCTACTCTAGTACCTTAAGGCTCCTCCTTAAAGATTTCTGAATCCACTAAGTCTCGGTCTCTTGAACTCTGTCAAAGCACCACACTAGTTTGGCAAACAACCCTTGCCAATAGGATTCAGTACGAGATTTCAGCATGGCTATCTCGAACCGCTTACAATGAAGATTTCACGGCTATCTTCAACCCTTACCCCTAAGGATTTGAAAGGATATCCTTGAACCTTTACCCAAGGATTTATACGGCTATCCTCGACTGTTACAACTTCAGAATTTAATGTCTATTCTCGACCGTAAGAAGGTTTGTTTGAAGAACACAAAAATGGGTTCTACACAACGGCTAGGTTACAAGGATGAAGAACACAAAAATGGG